GGAAAAATTTTTGATCGCAATGTGTAAAAATGATAGGTAACCAGGAGGGTACTGAAAGTTTGCTGACGATCGGCGCAGCGGTTCTGGAGATATATCGAAAAGTCTGGAGGAGGAGGAGGGGGGGGGGGGGGGCAAAAAATAGCTCCCCACCAGCGCGCGGGCTAATGTTGCTCAAACACGAGTTTTATGGGCCTCCAACACGAGTGTGTCCCTCCAATACCGACGGACGATTGTCCCAGAAACCGGATGATTCTATTAATTTAACCTTGTAGCCACACTTTTTGCAGAGTGCTCGGATTTCTTAGGTGATTTCGTTATGACGATTTTGGCGACGGTTGAAATGTGGAAGAGCCGCCCTGATTGGGATCCAAATTAGTCGCTCCCCTTCTCCTTAACCCTCACCGGCACCGGGGGGGGGGGGGTTGATGCACCCCCTAAGTTTGATGCATCCCTTGAGGTTTTTTTTTTTCGCAAATAACTCGCGTAAAAAGCGGCTGATCGCGAAGAAACTTTTCGTACCCACGCATTCATCAAGTTTACACCTACCCTGAAAATCTCATGTCCCTGACCCAAATGACCTTTGACTTGTGACCTATTTTCCGAGACCATGTTTGGCCGGAATCGCGATTCAGCGTATGTCGGCTCGTATTGGTCGCGCGTTTGCAGTCTTTTCGTGGTTTGAAGCGTTCAAATATGTGATTTGATGTTGCTCCCACGCATTAGGGTGGATGTCAAGGTCACCTGAAGGTCAGGTCAGGTCATTGACATTTGATGACCTCAGTTCACTTTTTCGAGTTTTCCTACATGTTTCTAGGCTACTTTTTGGAGCTGAATACGAATTAAGCAGCCATTTAAACATTTTCGAAGTAGTTTTGGTGCCTTCGTAACATGTTACGAAGCTGTCAGAGACGGTTGACACGTACAACGAATACCCGGCAGGACCCCTACTGGTTGACCTGACCTGGCCCGACCTAGCCTAAATGCATAAAAACATCATCTGTGATCAAAACTAACTTGACATTCGTGATCAGCACCCCGAAAAACCTCATAGCAGCCTTACTTAACGACGTTCTAACAGGTCTTGATTTTTCCGACTTTTGGGTCATTGACCTGACCTGGAAGGTCAACCGATGACCTAGGACCTTAAAATCGGGTATCATCGGCTTCCTCTCGTCACGGGCAACACGCTCGTTTTTTCCGCGAAGCTCTAGCTCGATCAGGGGCCAAACGCGCGGGGGTGGGGGTCGTACCCCCCTTGTGCCATCGAAGGACGCAAAATGACTTGTGCCGGCGAGGTTTAAACTTCTTCCACCAGCTCTTAACGGTGAGAACTGGTACCTACTCTTGTCAGGCAACGTCCTTCTGTGTGTTGCCAGCTTAGATGATGCTCATAGCGCGACTACGCACCGCCAACTGTTAGGGTAGACCCTCAAGCCTAGGCCGTTGGGCGTTGTTTATGCGCCGATCACTGGGTGATTTTTATCTTTGCTGATAGGGCTCAAGAAACGATAAATAATAAGAGTGTGAAATAATAAGAAGGAGAATGAAATTTCTTTCTTAGTTCGAGTGAGTTTCACAAGCACACAGCTGCCAATCGCGCTTCGCTGGCTATTTTCAAGGACAGCAGTTCTAGGTGTTCATCGAGTAGGTAATGATCGATAAGACGGCGGCTTAGCAAGCCTCGTCGATGCCCCTGGTATGACTACCATGGAAGCCAAAGAGCTTGTTACCGTTATTATTTCGACACCCAACAAGGTCCCATCAGCACCCATTCAGGGGAAGATCGCACTGCATTTGGCTATGACATCACAAATTGACTGTAGAAGAAGTACGAAGAGCTCTTGATGACACTCCAGGAATAATATAAAAAAGAAATCAATATTCATAGCTACGATTTGGGGTGGAGGGATTTGTGTAGAAAACGGGAGCAGGGGGAATGATCGTTTGTAGGTATATAGGAAACACATGGCGGATCAAAGGCATGGGTGGGTACCTACTGGGTATGAAACGAGAAGAGGGAAGGACGACTAACACTCCTTTCTCTTTCAAAATTTTTATCGGTAAATCCTAGGCTATTGTAAATCTGTTTTTGTTCACTACTTGTAAAAAATCCCTGAGTTCCTTCTCTTGCCCCTGCTAAACATCTTTCGTGACGTTCCTACGTTTGCCGAGGAAATTACCCATTACCAACAACAATTGGCAATTTGCAAGCTTGAATAGGTAGGTACCCCGCATCGGTTATTACAAATACATCGCAAAAGAACAGCGCATACTTCTCACAGGCACCACATACGCCATAGTCCATCATCCAACGCACTCTGTCCAAACTGATGGCACTATTTCCGTTGTTCTCCGACGATGGACGATGTAGCGAGTCGAGCTGTAGAGACATTATTCCACGGCGACCAGCTCGTGGCACACTAGACCCGCTCGGTGGCGGTCACACCGACCGGACACTCTTCAGAGCGGCGACTCCAGTCGGCACAGCTGCACACGTCTTCTACCCTTCATATCTTCTAAACTAGGTGTTGGCGCTTTGACTTGTCCAATGCACAGAAGTATCGTGCAGTAGGTATACTCGTATACCTATACCTATTTATTGTTCGGGTTTCAAATCACGGCTAGACTATCTACTGAGGCCATTCAACCCTCTTGGTCTATTTACTGAAGTCGGAAATCCTCATGTCAATATGAGGCATAGCTCGCGCCTCGCGATAATATTTGGTTTTTCAGGATGCACTTTTCTCAGTTCACATGTACTGTACCTATCAAAAAATCCCCAGATTGAATATGGATCTCCTTGTCACCAATTGTCACCGTTTAAAACGACTGCTGGGTAACCTAGAATAATCAAGCTCTGATAAGCATCACATTGTTTTCAAATCATGGATCCCATAATGTCTTGCCTGAAACACATTTGTGTGCTTAAGTGTTCATAAAAAAGGCAAAAAATATATTGAAACAGATGTCATGAAAAGATACCCAAACCATTAAATTAAAGGCATCCTTCCATGACATTAGTCTTCAATAGTCCATAATCCCACACCTACCAGTTGAGGCATCCCATGGAAATGTCAAACTATGACATCCATTTGCAATGCATGCAAGAACCAAACAATTTCCAGCATATTGGTGTAATTCCTGCTGACTGGACTATTTCTGAACCAGGAGCATGCAACAATGACAGCTTACAACATTTGATGTGATGATGATAATGATGATGATGATGATGGTGCTTCTTTGCTACATGATCAATGCGTCTGTTCCCATCACTCCTCCAACCTCCTCTATACTACTCTAACCTACTCTTCATTGAAAAATTGTTCCTGTTGCTCCTCCAACGGCCTCCAACCTCCTCTCAGTTCCACTTATCGCCACCATTATTCTCCTCCCTCATTCCAAACAAAGGTCAGGAGACACACATAAAACAAGCATGAAAAAACTTATGAGAATGAGAATGAGTGGTACGCTCGGGGGCAGAGTGATGTTCCACCACTCCCTACCTATCGGGCTCCCATGGCTCAGCACTGGCTGCTGCCAGTGGCAGCACTGGCAGCACTGGCACTGGCAGGCAGTGCTGATCAGTGCTGAGGGCAGGCAACACTGGCAGCAGCCAGTGCTGAGCCATGGGAGCCCGATGGGTGGGGAGTGGTGGAGCATCAATCTGCCCCCGAGTGTACCTAAAGAAATGTTTTTGGGGATTCAAGATATATTTTCAAAAGGTAATTGATTTGTTATTCCCTTTAAAGTAAAAAAAAATGTGTTAATCTAAAAACAAATAAGTATTTTGTGCACTTTAAATTGTCTTCTCTTAACCTGCTTATTTCCTCTCTCAGGTGTTCCTATGGTGGCATTGAGGGCCCCAATGCATCTCCAAGTGCCTCTTCAATCTCAATTATTATAATGATTTTTTTAGGAGCAAGCAGAACAAACCCAGTGTATCCGTCGGTAAGTAGAAATGTCAATCCTCCTCGGACCCGCCCGACCCGCCCACACTGGCTCAAAGCAGAATCTTGCTTTTTTTAGTGAATTTTGAACTCTAAGCATTTGTTATTGTTATCAAATGATAAATATGCAAACACCTTCGCGGATACATACGGAATATCATATAGTTAGCTCGGTGCCTGATGATGTAGGTACTAAATAATTTGCTTTGACTCTCGGCAGTAGACACATTCCCTTTCAAATGCTAAAAAAATACCTACCTACCTTTAACTTACGAAGACAAGATGAAACTGTCGCACACACCCGTAGATAAACCTCGAGCACACTTGTTATTTATGCATTTCACTTAAAATAATCAAAATCGCCCTAATTGTGTGCGAGTCGATCGGATGAAATAAAATTTTCGCTACCTGCGCTGAAAATGCCGCGCGAGTACCCGAGAGTGCGGTTTCAAGGCTGCTACGAAATACAGGAGCAGCCGTGCACAGTGCACACATCACATGACGTCATCGGTTCAGCTAAGACTGCCAGAAAGCGCCGGGCATTGACCTATAATAGACTGTATAGGACCTATAGTCTTGTATAGGTCAATGGCGCCGGGCAATTCCTTTTTCCAACCAAGCAACCGCGCTCAGAGCAAAAGGCCGGGCCGGGCTACTAAAATGCAGGGCCTTGCGAGCGCAATGGCACACCGGAGAAACGGATTTTATTTTACTGCGGGCAAAATGACGGCAAGGTTCAAGAACCCTACAGGTTTACATGACCTAGGGGAAAAACCGAGATCCCCAAACTTGCACTACTTTCCTCTTTCGAACCGTGCAGATGTTTATGCGTGATGTCATAGGTCAGTGACCTGAGCTGACCTGTAAAAATGTGGTAGATGCTAAATAATCCTGCTTTAACCGAAGGCTGGTAATGCCAATTTTAGTATTCATTCTGCTACACGTCCCGAGACATCGCGAAAAGTCGTTACACCAGCCAGCCTCAGGCGGTGAGGGTCGCAAAATTCCGCGTCTTTCCTCGTGGGCTATGGTAGGCAGTAATTAAATGAGCAACACGTTTTCATAGTCGTATTCACTTTATGCAACATCTATCACGAAATATGGCACTAGTGCCTCGGAAAATTTTCCCATCTAAGCGCGACACCTGTTATAGGGCACAAGCATCACATGCCCGTCGTACAGTTATACATGTTCTTATACCAAACATACACTTAAATGAATGACAAATGCCGCCCAAGGTCTGCTCCTATTACAACTGCTCCTGAGCGAGAACACTGCCAACAGAGCAATTAGGAGAGTGCATTTCGCCAGCTGACGCCTTCTGGAGGGAACCGCTCGACACACCTTGAGCGAACTGAGCGCATGGAACGATGAGAGCACTCCCAGGGCGGCCGGTGCGGCCATCTCCCACACACGGTGCGGTAACAGCCAGACACCCACAGCGGCCACAGCGGGCACCTAGCCGAGGTGATCACTCGGCTAGGGAGACACAGCTGACGACAAAACCGGCCGCTCCTCAGGTGAGCACCAGCCACAAACACTCGGTGCAGATGGGTGCAGGGCGCGGCGCTGTCACATCCTCACACACCGCGCGACGCACCATCAAAACGTGATAACACAGCCGTCACTCACACCGGCACCACGGACACAGCGCTCGGTCAGACACGGCCGCCGGCCCCGGGCGCACGGCGGACACAAAACCTGCGCACACAACCTAAACCTGTGCACTCGACAGCCAGAAGCGCCGACCGCCACCGCCACGCGCGGCTAGCGTTCCGCGCTGAGATCTGCAGCGCCGTGCTCGCGGCTGTACCCTGTACGTCAGCGCCACCCCAGCCGCCCGGCCGTCCGACTAGGGCGCTGGATCGCTGGGAATGCTGTCAGCGGGCCCCGCCTCAGAGTCCGCTACGGCCGCCGGCGGACTGGCCGCGGCCGGGTCAGCGGTCTGCTCGGAGTCGGCCGTCGCGGGCTCGTCCGACGGCCGGCACGGACTCGCCGGCTCGTCCGCCGCTGCGCCGCCACCGGCCGGGCCATTCTGGCTCGGAGCCAAATCCGTATCACCAGAACCCTGTTCGGCAGCGGACGCCAAGTTCCCGCCGTCGGGCTCCGCTATTGGGTCATCGTTCGACGACTTGTCTCCAGCCGTCGTTGTCTCCCCCGCGTCCGTATCTGCCGTGCTGTCGCCCTGTTTCGGCGGCGGCGCGGCCTGCTCCGGCTCGTGCGCCGCGCCGTTGGCCGTCTCCTGGTTTTCCAGCTGGGAGAGACGCGCCGACAGCCGGCGTGAGTGGCGCCGCCCCTCGGCGCCCTCCGGCGGCCGCTCCAGCCGCTGCCGTTTGGGGGCCGGCGCGCTGCTCGGTGCGCTGGAGGTGCTTGGTGTGCTCGACTGAGAATCGGCGGCCGGTCGCTTGGCCTTGTTCCCACCGCGCTTCCTCTTGCCCGACTCGACGCTACCCGGCGGGAGACCGTCTTTCCGCGGCCGGCCCCTCGGCCTGCCGCGCCTTGCCGGAGTCTGGACCGCTGCCTCATCCTCCTTCTCCTCTTCAGGTTTCTCTTCCTTCTCTTCAGCCTCCGCAGGAGACTCGGGCGCGGCCTCTGACGCAGGCGTCGGCTCCGTCGCCGATGTAGACGGTGACGGTGCAGAGGGTGCCTCTGCGACGTCCTTCGACGCTCTGGCACTGTAGGTCCTCTTCGGCGGCCCAGATAGCGTGTTCAGCTTGGCCCGCCCGGCGGCCAGCGGACCAGAGGTCACGCCGCGCGTTGCCGCTGTCACCATGGCCAGCGCCTTCTCCAGCGGCGGGTAGCGGCGCCGGTTCATGGGCGTACCCACCACCAGGCGGACGATGGGCCCGGCGCCGGGCCGCCGCCGCGGCGGCCGGCCCTTGACAGGCGCGATCGGTATCAGCTTGCCGTTCAGGGAGTCGCCCGATTTGATGTACGTGTAGTTGCCTGGTCTGAGGCGCTGCGACTTGTGGAACCAGGCCACTATCCGGCTCAGGTACTCGGAGCCCGGCGCGCTGGCCGCGCGACCTGACGTCTCCTGCACCTGCGCCTGCGCCTGGTTCGCGGGCTGGGCGTCGATGTTCGGAGGGGTGACCGGCCGCGGCACGGGAGCGGCCTCTGCCGGAGGTGGCGTGGGCACACCCTCACGTGGCGTCGAGGAGGGCAGTTTGATTTTGAAGCTGGTGATGGCCGACAGAGGCGTCAGCTGCACATTCGGCGAGGACCGAGAGGGCGCCGCGGCGCCGGACTGGCCGCCAGCCGCCGGCTGTTTGGGCGGTGCCGGAGCGATGTTTGGCAGAGATCTGGGCGGTGCCGGGGGCGGAGCAGCCGGCCGGGTGCCGCTGCCACCCGGACCGTGACCCTTTTTGTTGACAGCTTGCGGCGGCGGCGGCGGCGCGGGCGCGCCGGGCGGACGCACCTCTAACGAGAGGACACCGTTGGCCACGGCCTGCTGGATGGCAGACGAGTGGCTGGTCAGAGTCTTCATGATGCGCTGGTGGGTTTTCTGAGCGCCCGGCGGCAGGTTGGCCGGTGGCGGCGGCCGCTCGCCGCTCGCCGGACGGGCCGCGCCGGACGGCACCTCGGGCCGCGGACAGGAGTTAGAGTAGGTGCGCGTGGGGCGCGCCACAGCCGTCTGCCGACCGCCGCTGCCTCCCGAGGATGCCCCGAGACCGGGCGGCGGCGGCTGCATTGGCCACCGGGCCGGCGGCGCCGCCTGCGACGGCGGCGGCATGCTGCGGGTCTGAAACAGAGACAGGTCAGGTCAGACCGACAGCAGCCGTTCAGAGTCACCGCTCGCAGCGAATGAACGCCGGCTGACTGAAGCGACTGAGCGTGACTCGCTAACTCAAGCCTTAGTTCCCGTGAAGAGACTCACTGCCCTTTTGAGCGCTCCTACGGTACGCAGAGCCAAGTTTAAAGCTTGCACAAACTAAAACCGTTTAAGCCTTCAAAGGGATGCCTCGCGGCGAACATAGAATAGTTATCCATGCAGAGAGGCACCGCGATCCCGTATCAGGCGAGCGGACACCTATTGGAACAAAATATTTGTAACTTTTACCATCGCACAAAACTTTATTTCGGAACGGTTAAGTAGCTAACTTGAAAAATTAGTGTTCCAAAAGAATATGCACGGTGCAGCTTAGCTGATAATGATTGTATGTGAGAAGATGCACATACTCGTCATTGCATTCTGTCAGTTACATTTTTTAAACAAATAAGTCTGCCCGTGTATGGCATGCTGTGACGCAGGTTGAGGGCGCGTCTCACCTTCTGAGAGGCCAGTTTCTCCATGGCGTTGGCGTCCTCGTATCCCAGGTCCCTCCACGGGTCCACCTCGATATCGACTGGCTCTCGCATCAGGTGGTCGCTGGCGTCGGCGTCTGCGGGCCGGGCGACACGGTCAGCTAGCGCGCGGTGCACGGAGGGACACTGGATAGGGCCCGTGGGTTAGGCTAGGCTTTGGGGCTAGCGGTTTAGGCTTAGGGCAGTGGGAGGACGTAGGAACTCATTTAAATGTAGACAAAGAGTCATTGAAATTGACGGGGACAAACAGAGAAAATGAAGAGTGAAGCACTCGCGCACGTGCACGTAACAGGAATCTTTCTGAACGAATCTGCAGCAGAAGGACATACGTGACAAAGAGACACAGTCCACCAGAAAGCGCTCTTCTAACCCAGAACTGTGGACCCAAAAACAAAAGTATAGGAGGATCAGGCGCGAGAGATAATTCCCGTGACATTCTGCTACGATGTGGACTAACATTTGCCTTACAGAATTAGTTATGCAACTGAACAAGACACAAATGACAGAAAATGATGCTTTTGCCTGAGAATCTAATCCACTGCACTCAAATGTGCAGGCATTGGGAAAGTTACCGCTTTCACAGAAGCGGTTCGTTCCTGGTAGCGCTGGCGACCACTCACCGTCAGGCGGCTCCTCTTTGACCTCGGTCAGTTCCACTTCCACAGCCGACAGCAGCTGACACACGCCGGCCCCGTCATCGCTCTCATGAGACACGGAGCGCTCCAGGCCGCGGCCCGGCTCGGCCGGCGCGCCGCCGGGGTGGGAGGGTGGCCCCAGGGCGCCGGGGTGGCCGGCCGGACTGACAGCCGGGCCCGGGTGGCCGGCTGGGCTGAGTGTGCCGGGGAGACCTGCCGGGCTGAACGGCCCGGGGTGGCCGGACGGACCGAGCGCGCCAGGGTGGCCGGGCGGCACCATAACGCCCGGGTGGCCGCCGGGCGCCGCCGCCGGCCAGCACACCGGTCCCGGCGGCCCGTGCGGTGCCCACACGCCTGGCGGGCCGCGTACCATCATCGGTCCGGGCACACCCATATTGCTAGGTGGCGGCGGCGGTGGCTGCGGCTGCTGCTGAGGCGGCGGCTGCGGCTGAGGCTGTGGCGGCACGGGTCGCCGCGGCGCTCCGCCCGGCGCCGCTCCACCGCCCGGCGGCGGCAGCGGTGTGATGCACACGATGGCGCGCTCCTCGCCGAAGCCGCGCAGCCGAGCCGTGCGCCAGTAGTGGTCGCTCAGCTGGCGGCAGACGCTCTTCAGCTCGGCCTCCAGCGCGTCGGCCAGGTTGATGAGGCCGGCGCACTTGACGCACAGGCAGCATGTCTCTGAGCGGAACACCACGATGTCCTTGACGATGGCCTCCAGCTTGTGGCGCAGCAGAGTGCTGGTGGCCGGCGTCCTGCGGAAAGTGCACGGCATAGGTCACGGCATGGCATGGCACCCGCTCACCACTCCTATCATAAATATACGACAAACCAGCCCCCGACGAAGCGTGGTGGCGACAGATAAAACGATATTCCGTTTTGTGCAAGCAGTTTGAACTCTTTGACAATTTGGCAACATCAACTTGACGCTGCATTCAGAAAATGAACTATGAGCGCCAGGCAAAAATGAGCAAGCAGCAGTTGAGGAATTCGGGGAGTGTAAAACACAGGCTGCAGCTGTGTACCTATAATGCATTATTCATCGCACTTTTTTAAGTTATATATGTGGGAAATGTCAGGGTAGTGCATAATGAGCAATGTCCGATTGTGAAAGCGTCAATTGCATCATTATTAGTCACATTACTTAGGAAACAACAGCTGGGTATATGATTTGCGGCAAAGCACGGATCTGAGGGAGCAAATAAAAATTTAATAAGGTACTGACAATGCAATTTGAGATTGCTTAGATACAAACTGTATAAGAAACCCTGACCTGCGCCGGATCTAACTTTTCCTTTTTAAGATCGCGGTACATAACTCTTCAATATTCATGCGTATTCCAATTCTGCATTGCCTGCACGGCTTTGTGATACCTATACATCTTTCAGGGGTGTAGTGCATAAATTTGCGACTCAACTGCGTTGCTGATTTATGAACAAATGCGGGTGGCAACCAGTATAAGGCCAAATCTAGGGTGTCGTTGGCCCACGCATGTGCACCGATCGATGAGCTGAGCCACAGGTCTTCCTTAAACAAACGTTAGGCACAGCCACAGCACATATTTTCGGCTGCGGAAAATGTAGACAAATACATGGTAGAAGAGCATGGTTAGAAAATGAAATTTCACCCCTGGCCTTCCCTCCCCTCTCCTAAATGATGGATGGTTTTCCCCCATTGACTATATGTACCATTGATTGCCTATTCATCAAACACCATAAACTTCTCGGGATTTCGGATAAGAGTTGCATCATGAAGGTTGCTCATCCGATGTCAGTCACATTTCTTGTGACCCGCAGAGTGTGACAAAATTGGGGAACAACTGTAGCGCAATGAAAAAGGACACCCTTCGCGAACGATTCACCTTTTGCGTCGCTTATCATTCGATCTACTCGGCCTCAAGCCTGAGCGTTGAGTAACGCAAACATTCCCGGTCTTTGCGAATCGACACCCTTCACCGGTCACGGCAACTTAGCCAGCAGCTGTTCCCTTATTTCTAATTCACAAAAATACTAGTATCGAGATCATGGTGTGTACAAAATTTGAGCCACTGACCCACCAAACCAGTGCAACCGGATACACAACAAAATGTTCATGTTACAGGACTGAGAACAGTGTTATTCGTTAGAGCTTACTTTCCTTTTCATCATTTTCGGTTAGAAAGGGCAAAAGTGAGAAATGTTAGCACACGAAATAGTAATAACGAGTACATACATACAAAAAAAGGACATGTACTTCAAGGACACACACAATAAAACAATTCCACACACTCTTAGATAAACGTGAAGAAAACTTCAAGGACAAGGCGTGGTACATCTTAAAGGAAAAGGGCCACCTTTAACATGGGGATTGAAACTGAGATAGCCATCCTGTAGCCCGTGTCCGAAAACCTATTTGTTTACCTCCTTACGGCCGATTTCGGCCTCCATTCGTAGTTATCGGGAATTTTAAAAGAAAATACGCCAGGAATGCGTCCTTATCCCAGGAATGCGTTCTTATCCGACAATACAGCCACCCGCGGCGAGGCTTTGGTTTTTTACCAATCAGCTCCAACCAGCTCAGCTTTAACCAATCAGCTTATCTGACACAATCCGACGAGTCTGTCTTCTGAACGCTGATTGGCTTGAGTGTGACGTCATCGCTATGCCATCATACAGTAGGTGCCGTAGAGAGTATCAACATAGTACCAATATGTTAAAATAGTTTTAAATACTTTTTCGCGAATTGTGCACTTCTGGCACCAGTTTTAAAAAGAAAATGAAAAATAATAATGTCAAAATGAAAAACAACGATATCTTCATATTTCACGAAGATGGCCCTTTTCCTTTAAAAATGATCACAAGAAAAATGATGTGATTTACTAGGCGAGTTCCAGCCGCCGTGCTTACATAAACCTATGGGAGCTACGTCACAAAACCACAAAAAAAACCTTCTCTCATTCGTTTTGCCTGATAGAATGCCATGGCAGCGGCCTCCTCTCGTACGCCAATGGAACATCGTCGCCAATTCTTTTGTTAGTTTATTGGGGCTTTCGGGCACGCCGACAACCAAGGTCACTTTGCGCCCAGCTTATATTTTTTTAAAGTGATTCTATTCCTTGAAATGTTTATTGTTCAAGCTTAGGAAATGATAGGCTTGACTAGGTTCCATTATCAGGTGGTAAGACAATGTTAAGTTCGATTGTTTGTATTTGTTTACATTGGTTAATATTGTTATTTCGTTTAAAAATATCCGACGAAGACGACTCACTAGGATCCCGTGCCCCTCACCTGCTGAAGAGCACATTGGGCCGGTGGTAGAAGGTGGGAATCTGGTTCAGCGGCCCCAGGTCCTTGTTGCACACCAGACACAGCGCCAGACTCTTGGGCAGCTCCATGGCGGCATCCGCCCGCTCAGCTGCCGGAGGAGAGGGCCGGTGACGTTACGATAGACCGTCCGCCGCCACACTCACAGACAGAGACACAGAGCACAGACAGAGGCACAGACAGCCGCCGGGACACGGTCCGCCACCGCCTGCAGCGGCCGGGCCGGCGGCGGCAGCGACCCACTGCGAGCGGCGCCGTACCGGCCACCGCAACTCCAAGGCCACACACCGACCCGTCCGACCGGTGGAGGGAGGGGGGGGGGGGGGGGCTGCGCTGTGCCGCGCGGGATGGGGTCGGGGAAGGACGGGGCCAATTTCCAAAGTGCAGAACTTTTGATAATCTTTTGAGGAATTCCACTGGTGCGCAAAGGTCAACAAGTACGTGCGAATGTAATGATGAAATCCGTTAAGGATTTAGTAGGTCAACGATGTTTGAAGCGGCAATCGACATAGCATACCACATTGAGCATAGCAGCCAGTCCCAAAAGCACCAAAACCGGTGCAAAGTACAAAACAGGAATTGCTAATTTCGCCTCCTTGTCCAAAGAAACCGATCACGCCGGCTATAACACTCATGCTCATTGATCTCTGTGAACTCCACGCCGGTCTCTGGAGGCCTCGCATCGGTCCCTGGGGTTCCACATCGGAGCACCAGCCTGATAATGTCGGCCTGTGAGCCTTCCGTCGGATTAAGGACGCCTTGCCCACCTAAGGACCTCTCACCTCGCAGTTCGCACTGGTCTGAATACCCCACACCGGCTTCAGGGATGATCCTATTGAGGACCCCAGAACCTACTACCTACTGGAAACTACTGGAAACTACTGCTTCCAAATAAAGTCACTAGGAACAGCGGAGATCCCAAAAAGTAAACAAAGGTCCGTCAAAGTCTAATATCTTGAAAACCGATCAATATTTTTCGGTGAAATTTGGTAGATATTCGTTTTTGCTCTTCCTGAACCGAGCGATATCACTTCCACGCCAATTCATGAACTTTTTTGAAGGTGGGAAGGTCCTTTTAGGTCCTTTAAGTCCAAGATATCTTAGTTTTTCATTGCAACTTCAAACATTTATCATAGGATGATAACACAATCGCCACGCACTTTCAGAATGTGGATCGCTCATGATTGTTCAATACAATACAATACAATACGCGATGGATTTATCCATTATGACAACAGGAATGAAAAGATGTGCAGATTGGGCTTTCAACACATTTGACTCTGAGTTGCTTTGCTTACCAATAGGCAATAGCAGAGCTCAGGGTTGATCAGATAAAAGCATCCAACAGAAAAATATAGTTTGAGGAAAACACCTGCTAAATACCCTACCTACTTACAATAAACTACCAAACTGAAGTAAACTGATATGAGTGAGTTGCTGTTGTTTTTCATAAGGGGACCCTCCCACCTTACATAAAGTTAATGAATTGACATAAAAGTAATGTAGGTACTGCAGTTCTGAAAGGGCAACAATTAATGCCCTCCAAATTTCACCAAAAAAATATTCACTGGTTTTTAAGATGTTTAAGAGGGCATTCAAATGCATTAGCCCCTTAGAATCTGAAAACTGCAGACTGAAATTAAAAATTTAATAATTAAGGCCTTTCTCAATGTTGTGAGTGCTCAAACTGGTGATTGCAGGCCAGGAACCCCAATTTGGCTGTCTCAACTCAAAACTAATGCTAAGGTGGGATGGTCACTTTTAAATTCATATTGGATGTTATTGTAACTTGTAAGGAAGAATGCAATAAAACATATTTTCCTCATTCATACTATTCATATGCCTGAGTTTCAGCAGTTGCTCCAACAAGTAAAAAAGAGTAACTATGGGCCTGTTCCAGCACCTCCAGAAAGCTTCAGAATTCTCCAGGGAGCATTCCAGCACCTTCAGAAAGCTCCAGAAAGCTCTTGTCAAAGCTCCAGAAACATCCAGTAGCCTCCAGGAGAGTTGGGAGGTCTCTCTGGAGGATCTGGTCCACAATTATGGTGCACATGTGACAATCACAAATGTACATACACCAAGGACTTTTGACTGCTTATTTTACACTTGGATATAAAGAAAATTACATTGCTATAATTTTGTTAATCTTTCTTACTAAAATTGCAAACAAATTTTGTGTTTCGAGAGAATACCATCGTCATTCTTTTGGTATCTGTGTCCTGTGATACCAATCTCAAGAAATGTCCAGATTGCGTTCCAGTGCCTCCAGTGAAACCTCTGGTAGAGCCTCCAGTCAAGAATTTCTACTGGAGGCACTGTAACTGGGAACAGGCCCTAAATTAATAAAACAGAATGATGTCACAGATCCAGATGACACCCCATTCCACAGAAGCTGCATCCATTCTGAGAAAATAACGTGGAGATTCACTGACATGAACATACAGCTAATTAAAAAGTATTTGATGATACAATAATACCAATACTATACCTAATTATACCGATAGCTCAGCATCAGCAGCCAGCGCTAAATCAACATGAGCAACAACCATGCCACCATGCATGGCAATTATTGATATTTGTCTCACAACCTTGACCTTTATCATTTAGGTGTGTTCATACTCTCACCTCATTTTCTTAGACGTGTTGAATAAAAATTATGTCACAACTCACACTTGTACCTTAAAATCAACTCAGTGCGTATAATCTTGGACTTCTTCTTCTTCGTGGATTAGGGCGCGTGTATAATCTTGGACGCAGCCTCTTATACGGCCTTGGACGCAGCACCTAATAATATCTTGGAACGCTATATAGGTATATGCAGGGGGGTACGCTCCGGCTGTTTAGCATTACAAAAAAAGGTGACAGACGTTTGTGGATAGTCGACGAACTCTTGTTCCGCGAGCAGTACTTACACGCTAGCGGAAAATTCACCAATCAGCGCTCGGCAGTACTCGACGCTGATTGGTCCGACGCTCGTGACGAAATTGCGGGGGACCGCAGTTATTCTCTATGGACCCGAATAGGCTTTTGGATTTCGGAGGGGTTTCTTTAAAATTATATGCTGTTTGGAGCTGTTTTCGAGCTGAAATATATTTCTTATGACTGTTAGCTATATAATGACACCATAAAATCATGATTTTAATAAATATTACCGATGTAATATCGGCCGAAAAGACATGCTGTCATGGCACGGACTGCCGTGCGGCTGATGTGGGGCCCCTAGTGCCAGCGTATGGTAATAATGGGTTGACGAAGGGTTATTGGAGAAACTTAGAGCCCCATCAGCATTCAGCATAGGGTCATCAGAGGCCGGGAATGTCCATCAGGGGTCTGAGTAGGCCTGTCATAGGGGCATACATGACACATCATGGCCCATGGGTCAATGTAGATCCATTAGGGGCCGTTGAAGGGCCATCATTGTTCAGCGTGGGCTCGCAATTACTTCTGATGGGCATATGCCGTGCCCCGATGGACTAACGCTGGCCCCTGATGAACCATCACCAGCCCCTGATAGGTCTACAAAGCCCCCTGCTGGGTCCAAATTGGTCACTGATATGCCCAAATGGGCCACTGAGAAACCCGTACAACATCCCCTGACTGCACCTGCTGGACCAATGCCGTCCCCTCATGGGCCCACCACAGCTCTTGAATGACCTTTTCAAGTCCCCTGAAGTGCCTTTATTGGCCTAAATGGCCCCTGATTGACTTATGTGGTCCCTATTGGTCCTATATGGCCTCCATGAGCCCTCAACGTCCCTAGACAGCCTTACATTATATTCCACTGGGCCCTGTTGGGTCAGCACCGGCCCCTGATAGGCTTGCACTGGACCCACCGGGCCTATACCGACCCATGAAGGCCCTATGTCGAGCCCTCATGGACCTCCGATGATCACACGCCGACATGTGTGGCCCCATCAGCAGTGGTCCGTCTATCCCATGTACTTACGGTCTTTTTGGCCGATGTGACACCGGTAGTATATAGAAATGTTATGATTAAATGTCGTTATTACACAGTCAAAAGTCACAGAAAGAATATCCAAGCTAAAAAATGGCCTCAAACCCAACAAAAACTGGTATAAATCCCCTTCAAAAGCCGTTAGTCTATTAAACGCCATAGGGGAATAGCTACAGTCCCCCGCAATTTCGTCACGAGCATCGGGCCAATCAGCGTCGAGTATTGCCGAACGCCGATTGGTCGATTTCCGATAGCCTGTAAATGCTGCTTGCGGATATAGTTTTGAACAAGTGAGGGTCGCGGCTATTAATTATCGCTTGTCACCACTTTTTCGTCGGGAACGTTCTACCTGGTTTATATAGCCTTGGGTATATGTGCGGCGGAAATATTTTGCCGATTTTGCCACCGAATCCAGACAATTCAAGGCTCAGGGAAAGGTGAGCAAACGTCTTTCATCCTACCCAAGATTCTTACAGACCCTACCGACCTTTGATTACGTCATCGGATCGCCGCATGAAAATCGATATAACAATCGTTACAAAATCATACTTACTTCATGGGCTATTGTACTGTTACTTTGTTCCATACCAAGCTTGTGGCCGACGTGCCTTGCTGAAAGTAGTGTGTGATTTATGTATAGGTATGCATTATGTAGCTCTTAACCCGCACCGGGCCGGGGGGGGGGGGGGGTTTGAACACCCCCTCCCCCTGCGGTTTTTCGCAGATCTCAAAAACGGCGGCGCGTCCGCGCCGCCATTTTTGGCACACCTGTTCGTGCATCTATTCCGCACATGTTGTGAGAATTTCAGACCCAGTCCCAGGTCGCCTTAGGTCAGGTCACCAAGTCACGCCAAGTGGGCCTCACCTCAGAGAAAATAAGAATACTCGTCATCGCTACACCGATTGATCGATTGCCTTGAAACTTTCAGCGATTGATAAGAGCAACATTATCTACAAAATGTATATCTCGGAATTTTGATACCGGTGACCTGAGGTCAGGTCAATTTTGCGGCCTCTCCATTACCTTAAGTCAATGGGAGGAAATTGAAAAGAGTCTGTTTTGCACGAGCGCCATTCTAGACACTCAAACATCGAGATGTAGGTAAAATTGACACACTGAACCGGAAAATGGCAACTGTGACCCCTCGTTATGTCCCCGAGGTCATATCAGGTCACGAACAGCATCTAACAGTTTTTCGCTAATAACTTCTAATAGAGGCGTGCTAGAGCGCTGAAAACGCCTTAGATGTGTTCGGCTCGACGTTGCGGATCGACTGATATGCAACATGACCTTTTCCAGTCAGGTCATGACCTTGACCTGAGGTCAAATTTTCAAGTTGACCTTTCAAGGTCAAATTATAGTTCATTCGACACGTCTCGACGAGAGGAACACGATGCTGGCAAAAGTAATGCCATGGCTCTTTTGAATAAAAAGTTTTAACCGAAAAAAAATGCTTTTCGTAAAAACGGCTATTTTTGGAGTTTTTGCCCTCTGGAGGCTAAACCGTTGACGTAAGGTCAAAGCTGAGAACATTATTCAGAAAGGTTTGTAAAAGGGCTATCGAATGCGCTTTTCTGCGGCGCTGTAGCTCTATCGGTTCCCGAGATAGCCGCTGGCAGTTTCCAAAATGTTGAAATAGTCAGCATTTTACCTTTGGTGACCTCTGGTGACCTGACCTTTAACCTGACCCAAAAAAGGACCTGAGTGTTTTCGTCCTTATTTTGGACGTTCTTTCGATTGCCGCTTACCGCGTGTCGCTACGTGGCCCAGGAGCCGAGTTAGAAGGGGGGGGGGTGTTCAGACACCCCCGGCCCGGCGCGGAATCTCAGAGCACCGGCCCGGCGCGGGTTAAGCACGTAGCAAGGATTTTGCTCAGGAACTCAGTGCGTACAAGCATAGAGATCTTATATACGTTGTATATAAGATCTCTATGCGTACAAGCGGCCACAGGTCGCGGCCTTATGTCGTACTCCCTCCATAAGAGGAAAACTTCTCGGATTTGGCCCACTATATTTAGGGGCGTGGTGCAGTTGCTTTATTTGTTTATTTTTCGCCTTCAGAGGGCATCGCCCCCGTGCCGCCCCCCCCCCCCCTGGCTACTTCCCTGGCAGCTCTTACTATAGGCCGGAACGGAGGAGCAAAATGCCGAAGGAACTCCGACCGCAAGCTTGATACGAAACATAGTTTTCGGTAACTTCGGTAACACAATTATTTACCAGTATAACGCCTTTTGGGGCGACTAACGGAGCGAGCGAGAGGGTGGGCCTTGCACGTGCGAAATTGCGAGGGGTACCTCCAACTGACTTGTGCACGGCACCCTACTAACTGGTCTCTAGCGATGTGCCAAATTTGGGCACAATCGGCCCAGCCGTTCTCGAGATCTGGAAGCGGCACCCTGCACGTGCGCACGTGCAAAATGGGTCCCAACTGACTTGTGCACGGCACCCTACTAACCGGTCCCTAACCGTGTACCAAATTTGAGCGCAATCGGTCCAGCCGTTCCCGAGATCTGGAAACGACCCCTGCACGTGCGCACGTGCAGCAGCACCCCAACTCTGGCACATGTATATGCAGTGCCTAGTGGGTGCCTACCTACATGCCAACTTTCAGCGCAATCGGCCAAGTAGTTACCGAGATATTGCAACAATTACAAAACTGACACCTCTTCGTTTTGCACGTGGCACGTGCATAAGGGGTCACCCACATGCATCGGGAATAGTCCAATACTTGGTAGAAGGAATGTAGCTACCCTACAAAAATTACCGCGTGTAAATCGGTCAAGTGGTTGCTGAGATATAAGCCTCGCAAAAGCGTGACCACGGCCGGCCGGCCGGCCGCTCATACTCAGAAATTTCCGTTAATCTAAGGAAAGACTACGCTCGCTTCGCTCGCTCCGTAATCAAAAAAGCAAAAAAAAAAAAACAACAATAAAGCGAAAGATAGAAAATGCGTACGAATTTACAACAAAAACAAAGGTATTGGCAAGGCCCTAAAAACAGCATTGTATGCGTGTAGTACACAGTACACACAAAAGTCTGCCTTTTCGCTTGTATAATATAAGGGCCCTGTTTCACGGTTCGCTGCTGCCCATTGACCTCTAGAGCCGCTACCCGACATGGTGGTTTAACCAACTCTTTCACCCTTTGGTGCCATTTTCTTACGAGATATCTGGGGGTTCTTATTTACCTACATCTCCGTGTTCCCGGCCACCTTCCGCACGGGGGGGGGGGGTGTCATCTCCGATGGGTGTATCCACAGATAACAGTAGTACTACTGTTATCTGTGGTGTATCCCATCGGTGGGTGGGGGGGGGGGGGGGTGTATCTCCGAAACTACTGGACGGATCCGTAGAATTCAAAGAGCGTTCGATATCTTTGTAATTGTAGAATGTAGAGGATTGTATTGAGGGTAGAGTATTGCCTTTTGGACTCACAGTGATGACAGCCCGAGTTCTAGTCGCTACGGCGCTCGATATACATACAAGATTCCTGACGGGGATGGTCTGCGGTCAGTGGGAGTAGCCGCAGCTAGCTCGCATGTGTAGGGGGCGGGGGTCGGATGGACCCCCCATGGTTTTTCGCGAATAACTCGCGTAAAACGCGGCCGATCGCGACGAAACTTTCAGTACCCTCGCATTGATCAATTTTACACCTACCCCGAAAATTTCATGACCCTGACCCAAATGACCCTTGACCTGTGACCTCTTTTCCGAGACCATGTTTGGCCGGAATCGCGATTCCGCGTATGTCGGCTCGCATTAGCCGCGCGTTTGCAAGCTTTTCGTGGTTTCAAACGTTCAAACATGTGATTTGATGTTGCTCCCATGCATTAGGGTAGGTGTCAAGGTCACCTGAAGGTCAGGTCAGGTCATTGACCTTTGGTGACCTCGGGTGACCTCGGTTCACTTTTTCGAGTTTTACATGTTTCTAAGCTAGTTTTTGGAGCTGAATTAGAATTTAGCAACCATATGAACATTTACGAAGTAGTTTTGGTGCCTTCGTAACATGTTACGAAGCTGTCAGAGGCGGTTGACACGTACTACGAATACCCGTCACGACGCCTACTGGTTGACCTGACCTGACCTGACCCGACTGGTCTAAATGCTTAAAGACATCATCTGTGATCAAAACTAACACGATATTCGTGATCAGCACCCCGAAAACCCCCTTAGCAGCCACACTTTACGACTTTCTAATAGGTCCCGATTTTCCCGACTTTGGGTCATTGACCTGACCTGGAAGGTCACCCGATGACCTAGGACCTTAAAATTGGGTATCATCGGCTTCCTCTCGTGACGAGCAACACGCTCGTTTTTTCCGCGAAGCTATAGCTCGATCAGGGGCCAAACGGCAAGGGGGGGGGGGTCCAACGGACCCCCCCCCCTACACATGTAGTAAAGTAATCTTGCTACACATTACAAGCTGACAAACGCCGCACACATGCAAGGGTTAAGTCAGTTTAGTGGGATAGACCGAGTGCATTATTCGGTATCCTTATTTTCCCGTTACCCGCCACTGCCCGATCGGGCGGTAACGGTATAACGGGTCGGGTGCTCAAGCAACAAGCTCTTCTTAGCGTAGGCTCATGATGTCAATCCATCTATTCAATTATTCGAACTGAATTTAATAAAAAAAAGCACAGATTACCGTTCCCAGTCGTCAGAGTGCTGTGGCGTAGCTGTTCGCCGGGTGTGAAGCGTACTGAAGCCATTTCCGGTACAAGACGCTCGTCTTCAGACCTGGCATGGCTGAGTTCATCACGATTTGTTGCAGCGAATCCAAGGGAGCCATGAGACTCAACAGCATGGGCTGAAAAGAAGGTAATCTTTTACCGACATTTTCCTGGCCTTTCATCCAAAGATTTGCCAGCAAATGTCACACACTTTCATTCAATAGGTGCATTTTAAGGATATGGAAAACCAGCAAGCTGAACATGGATGAAGAAACATGGTGTTCACTGTTCAGTAACTCCACATTATAATTTACATTGTGCTGTGGTTACATACACCATCATCCATAGTTATAAATGTTGTTTTAACAGCTGCAGCATGTAATAACTATTAATAAAATGATGTTCTGACACAATGGGAGCTTTCGGCCCTCAGGAGAGCTTTTGCACTCAAAACATCACCCAAGGCAACATGTAAAAAAGCAATATAAAACATCAAGATGTTGTTTGATGGTGTTCAATTTGGTCCTTGACTTGAATCAAATGACAACAAGCAGCAGGATTGAATATTGATGCTTGTAGATCTGCTGCTGGCAGTCGGGCATTTGCCCGGCCAGAATATGCTGCTCTGGCAGTAGATTAGCAAGTTACCAGCTGAATTGTCACTAGCTGTTTTGACATGGACCCAACTGAATGTTCTATCTATTAGTAAAGTAATCTTTGTTCTGTCTACCAGCATCAGATTCAGATGTTCATTGGCCTAACCATGCTGCTACCAGCAGCAGATTCATGACTATGCTGCTGACTGCTGCATGACTACAGCACGCCATTTCTTTAGTTATCAATTGTATCAGCTCGCCCTAAATCTGCTGCTGATAGACAGATGTTGAATCTGCTGTCCACCTTTTAGCACATCCAGGGCTTGCAGCTTTCTAAATTTTTGCTGGTGCTTGGTAGACACCGGGGGTGTCACTACTTTGCTTCGCCAATCGCCATAGGTCCAGTACTGATGTCATTGGTTTCTATCCCAGTGATGTCAGTGCTGTCTACATCCAGGAACTTCTTGCATTTGTTTCTCATTAGAGGTGGCCATATTGTATTGTCCCGTGACAACACATTTGCGTCATCAGGATCGACACTGGCTGTAAACAAACTGCTCAGTGTCGCTACCTCCTATATATGGCCTTGGGTAGACAGATATTCAGTAAATCCACTGCCAGAGCAGCATATTTGGGAAAACTGAATGGATTGCTAGCAACAGATTTTCAAATTTTTATCTGCTGCTGGATTGACAAATATATCTATTATTACACATTTAAACATAACCTCTTGGACCTTGCCCATTGGCAAAATGTATCACATGCCATTGCAACCTACCTCTCCCAGTTCTGAGTGCACACTTGCGCCGATACTCTAACTGTCTTTTCAGACGTCGCCTTCGGTCCTTACTGGGCATAGTACAAATGACTGCAACATGTACGCATCAATGAGAATGGTGGGGATACATCAGAAAGCTCTTTAAAAATCAATGAAGCAGATTTAAGATTTGCTGAATAGCAGGACAAAAGGACAATAGCAGCCAGCAGGAGCAGGCATCACACTTGTTTTTTCTTTGCAACCAAGGAGAGGCACTGTAGGTTAGATTTATTGTTTATTGTTGTTTATTATCACAAAAATCCAATCATATCCACTGAGAAGGGCTATTCTATGATTTTCGTCATATAATAGAGAATCAGAGCAATAGCTCCAGCTCAAGTTCGCACCATTAAAAGAACAGCACATTAAAACATCACTAAAACAAATTAAAAGAACATGGTGTAAAAGGACAGGTAAAAACAAATAGTACAAGCTGGTGTTCTAACACGATAAAGAGTTGGCTGTAGCCCACAATAGCGCCGGGACATGAACTCACATTTGAGCACTGCTTTCAACCGTTGCACCGTCAGATCCTGGCGACTTTTAGATATGACAGCGGCATTATACAGTTACAGTTTCGCGGAATAGGTTGTAGTTTTTAGGTTGTAGTCTAGGTAAGGTGGTAGTCATAAAGCAGGCGTCACACTTCCGTGTTAACGGCCGGAGGTCCGGTGACGGGCTGTGGCCTTGGCTGTGGCCTTGAGACGGCCGCCGGTTTATTACGTCACAAACGTACTATCGATGCAGAGTTTTCTATCGATGTGAGAGCTTTGATTTACGGAGCGGGGAGATGAAAATGACCAGCGCACAGCGGACGCAGGGAGAGGAAAGGATAAAAAAAACTTGGTCACAGCAGCGGACTCGCTTCGAATCCGAAGGTCACCGGTTCGAATCCCACCATGCCGTTCGATCAGCGGCCGACAGTCGCGAACTTTTTTGGGTGTGTGTGTGTTTTTTTTTTGTGTGTAGAGGGCTGGGACCGGCAGTGTTGAGGGTGCTAGAGCTCACTGACTTGACCCCAATGCAGAGATCCTGGGTTCGAATCCCACCACGGCGTTACCTAAGCGGCCCAGGGGCGGAGAATTGTCATAATCCCAGGGGGTGCTTCTCTAGCATCTCGCGAATGGAAGCTTCGAATTCTTGCGTAGAAAAGCATGTGTAGGTACGTTTTCCAAGCCGCATCACTCTCCTCGCGGCTTACGCAAAGCAGTTTGTGTCTCAGACGTAAGTTAAGCACCCCTGGAGCACTATTGCACGGTGACTTTTGAATTTCAGGGGGTGCTCGAGCACCCCCAAAACCCCTAATTCTCCACCCCTGAAGCGGCCACTTAATCGTAGGTACCTTTTTAGTTTTATAGGATTGGGATCGGCAGTGCTGAGGGTGCTAGAGCTTACTGACTCGACTCCAATGCAGAGGTCCCGGGTTCGAATCCCACCATGGCGTTGCCTCAGCGGAACCCTCTAAAACTAAAAAAGTACGATACAGTCGGCCGCTGAGTTAATGCAATGTTGGGATTCGAACCCAGGACCTCTGCATTGGAGTCGAATTAAGCTCTAGCACCCTCAGCCGACCCGGGAACAGGGGGGGCAGCGGGGGCGCTTGCCCCCCCCCCCAACTTGGGAGCCGAGGGGGCGGCGCCCCCTCAACATTGAGGCAGCGAGAAAAGGTCTTTCCTCCCTTTTCCGGACTTCTTTCCTTCTTGTTTCCTTTATACATCTAAGCATCAACACACGGCATTTTCCTTGCCATCTGAATGGTTTCTGCTGATACAGTATCGATTTGACATCTGCTATTGTCATCCCGCTTTGATTTGGGCCTGACCTTGGCCATAAGCTTGGCAGACCAGTTTTATACTGGACCATTTTGAGTCAACTTTGAGAAATGCATAACGTACAACGGTGGTAAAATCGTTGCTATAGGTACTCGTATAACACAGTTTACCCCTCCGGGTGTGAGGGAGGGGTGTGGGCCGGGCAATGAGTGCACTGACGTGGCGCCTGTTGTATTATGGTCCAGCCCCCGCACGGCTGCTGGCCGCGCCTGCGCGCGCCCCTGCCGCCGCCACCGCTGGCCGCCCCGGCTCCGTGCCTGTGAGCGCCTCTGCCGCGGCCAGCTGACGGTGCGCGCCGAGCGGCGAGACTGGCGCGGGCGACTAGGCGCGGCGCTCGCCATACTTGTTATCTTTTTGGACACTCTTTCGGCCTGAACGGATCGCAGTAAATAAATCGCGTTATTCATTGATTGTGTGCTCTTTCACTCGAAACGAACCAAAACGTAACATGGCGCGGACGGTTTTGTAATTACGTGACTGAGCAGCTTACAGCGCGATGAAGAAAATTTTGATTCAGGAACTGACGGCGCTGCTGGAGAGGCAGGCGGAGAGAGCCGCCGAGGCCGACAAGCGCCTGGAGCGTTTGGAGAGGCTGCTGTACAGAGAGCCCTCCGCGGGGACCGGAACGGGCACGACGGCCGGAGTGTCAGAGTCGGGGGCTGAGCGAGGCGCTGATGGATCCGTTGGACCAGCTGCCGCCGCCCGCCGGACTGTCTGCCTGCCGGCGTCGGCGACCCCGGCCCCGCACCTGAAGTCGGCCTCGACGTGCAAAGCCCGTGTCGAGTGCAGTGTGCGCGACAGTGAGACAGGAGCGGTGAGCAGTCTGGAGGACTCTGAGTCGACGCTCAGACACGCCGTGACAGTGGGGGAAACGTGGAGTGCCCATGTCACGTGCCAAGACCTCTGCGGCACCAAGGGACATTTCGTGGCCCACCTGTCGGCCTACAAGAGGGACCGCAGTCGGCCGAGTGTCGCCCATGCCGCCGCCGCCACCAATCGTCAGTTTCTTGAGCGTTGCCCTACCTGTGGTCGTCGCCAGCACGCCGGCGGAGACACGTGTCGCGCCGCTGGCGCCATCTGTCGTGCGTGTGGCGAACCAGGACATTTTGAGGTAGTGTGCCACGAGAGGGCCACCGCCGCGGCCGATCGTCCAGTGGCGACCTCTGCAGTGACGAGAGTACGCGACTCGCCGGTGGTGGCGCCAGTAACGGTAGCCGCCGGCACCGCCGTGTTGCCGCCGCAGGCGGACACGGGCCGCACCGGGAGTACTGCAGCGCAGCCCACAGAGCCGGACGGAGCTACGGACGCCTACGGAGCCTCGCCGCCGCCGGCGGGAGGCATCCCAACTTGGAGCACGGACCGAGTGCACGGAGCCTCGCCGCCGCCGGCGGGAGGCCCATCGGTAGCCACCGGCGCCGCCGTGTCGGTGCCACCGGCAGACACGGGCCGAGGAGCCGGCCGTACCGCGGCGCAGCCCACCGAGCCGGCTGGCACGCGTGGAGCCTGCCCGCCGCCGGCGGGAGGCTGGCCAGCACAGACTATGGAGGCAGCCCCCGGCGTGTCACCGCCGCAGGCGGACACGGACCGAGCTGAATGTACCGCGGCGCAGCCCACCGAGCCGGCTGGCGCCCACGGAGCTTCGCCGTCGCCGACGGGAAGCCTTCCCACGCGGACCAGCCATGGAAACGAAGCCGCTGGTGACGCCGTGTTGCCGCAGCCGGCGGACACGGGCCAACCCGGGGCCACTGCGGTGCAGCCTGCAGGCCCGGATGCAGCGGCTGTAGCTTACGGAGCCTCGCCGCCGCCGGCGGGAGGCCTACAAACGCTGAGCACGGGCCGAGGTGCAGCTGCCGGCCCCGCCGTGTCACCGCCGCCGGCGAACACTGGCCAGATTGGGTGCACCGCAGCGCAGTCTACCAGGCCGGCTGCCGCCTACGGAGCCTCGCCGCCGCCGGCGGGAGGCCTACCCACGCGGACCAGGGACGGAGGTACAGCCGCCGGCTACGCCGTGTCGCCGCTGCCGGGGGACACCAGCCAAGCCGACTGTTGTGCGGCACAGCCCACCGAGCTGAGTAAGACTACTGACGTCTACGGAGCCTCGCCGCCGCCGGCGGGAGGCATGCCAACTCGAAGCACGGATGGAGGCCCAGCCGCCAGCACCGCCGAGTCGCCGCCGCCGGCGGGCACCGGCCAAGCCGGCTGTAGTCATGCGGCGCAGCCTACCGAGCTGGCTGACGCATACGGAGCCTCGCCGCCGCTGGCGGGAGGCCTGCCAGTACGGAGTGGGGACGGAGACCCGCCCGAACAAATGGTAGCGGCTCACGCCGCCGCGCTCCTCCGTACGCCGCAGGGATGCGTGTCCGCCGGTGACAAGTCCGACCGGCGCGGTGACACGAACCTCGGTGACACCACCCTCCACTCGGTCGAGGTGGTGGATGACCTGCTCGGTCCGACCGTCGATGACGAGGTGTGGGAGGACGCTGAGGACCCGCTTCACGCAGCTGCCGTCGCAGCTATGCTCGCTGAGCGGGATACGGAGTGCGACGCGCGTCTGCCGCCGCTCGTGGACCCGAGTCTAGGGGTGACCAGAGCCGCCGCTGACCGCGACCCGTGGCCGCCACCGACACCGGAGCGACGCCTGCCGCGGACCTCCCCGTGCGACGGCGGGCGCGTCCGCTGCAAGAAGCGCCCGGTACGCCGCGGAAGAGAGCGCAGGCGCCGCCGTCTGCACTGCGCTGCGGTGGCCTTGTGCGCCCGGACCCCGGAGGGTCCGCTGTGGCGCCTTGGAGTGAAGACGATGTGATCGTCTTGGGGGGGAGGTGTTGTATTATGGTCCAGCCCCCGCACGGCTGCTGGCCGCGCCTGCGCGCGCCCCTGCCGCCGCCACCGCTGGCCGCCCCGGCTCCGTGCCTGTGAGCGCCTCTGCCGCGGCCAGCTGACGGTGCGCGCCGAGCGGCGAGACTGGCGCGGGCGACTAGGCGCGGCGCTCGCCATACTTGTTATCTTTTTGGACACTCTTTCGGCCTGAACGGATCGCAGTAAATAAATCGCGTTATTCATTGATTGTGTGCTCTTTCACTCGAAACGAACCAAAACGTAACAGCGCCCTCGGTATGGGATGGGATGCATGGGATACATTAGAGGGCCGGTATGGGATTAAAGCTCAGCGACACTTAGGGCTTATGAAGTGCCTTCCGTTATCGGCAGCACCCTCAGAAATCAGAATCACCGGCGTAGGGCCCTCAGAGCCGCCGGTAAGGGGCCTTTAGAGGCACCGGTGTGGGGCCGTTATGCAGGTGCCGGTGTGGGCGCTCAGAGGTGCTAGTGTGATTCTCTCAGAGGCGCCGATGAGGGTCCTTACAGGCGTTGCTGTGGGCCCTCATAGAAGCTGGTGTGGAGCCGTTACAGACGGGTGTGGGGGCTTTAAAGCTGCTGACGCGAACTCTCTACAGGCCGGCAGGGGGTCTCAGTGACCGGCAAGGGGTCCTTAGGCCAGTAGAAGAAGTCCTGTGGGGTCCTTAGAGACCGGCATGGTATTGTCAGACGCCGGTGGGGCCCTCAGACTCACCGGTGTGGGACCCTCAAAAGTCACCAGTGGGTGGCCTTCAGATGCACAGGTGTTGGTTGGGTCCTCAGAGCCGCCGATACAGGGCTTAATTTTAATAGGCACTGGTGTAGGCACTCAGAGTTGGGGGTGTGAAACCCTCAGAGACACCGGTGTGGGCCCTCATAGGCGCCGATGAGGGCCCCATAGTTGCCGTTATGGGGCCCTCAGAAAAATAA